AGAAAATCTCACTTCTGTGGATCGTAAGTCGTAGAACTTACCAACCTCAGTGCAGTGTTCACAATATGTCATTCAAAAAATTGAATTAATATATATATTTATATATATGTATATAGACAAATATTCTATAGCAGTCTATATTAGATATTATTTATCAGTCAATATTCTCTTTTTTCACTCAATTTTTTTTCTTGATCGGCAATAGGCAAAAGATTTGAGGGGAATGCTGGGTGGACTTTCCGTCAACCAATCCAAACGTAAGCTTGGTGCCTCAGATATCTTCCTATGGAGTCACCTTTGTCTCAGCACGCTCAGCTTAGCTCAGCTTCTTTCCAGCTGCTCCCTAGAAATAGCCCTCTGATCCCGGGGAGCTTATCACCAAAATCTGTCTTGCTCTTTGCTTTCTTTGTTCCATGTGCAATTACACTAAATTGAATGGGTGCACGGTAGGGGTGAAGACAGGGAATGAGGAATTAGTCTTTTTTTTCCTCAAAGCGGCACAGTTCAGCTTTGGGGAAAGGGAACGGCTTTAACTCGGGCTTTCCAGCATGAGCCGACGAATCAAACGGGGCCCCTTGCTGCCTTCGGTCTGGCCTGCGCTCTACCTCTGAGCCGCATCAAACGGGGACCTGGGAATGCTAGAAGTGTTCCATACTGGCGCGTTCAGTGGCCCAGACCAGATGGAGTCTTTGTTCTTTTGCTTAAACGCGCACACGCACAGCTCAAACGTGGGCCCGCTCAAAAATCTCACACATGCAAATAGAACACACTCGGACCAGAGCAGCAAAAAGCCAGGATCACGATGACAAGGGGGGGTTGAAATTCTCTTGTCCTCCATCGTGTTCACATTAGTCATATGCAAATAGGCATTGTGCATAGAGAATGACACACATCCACCATGTCTAAATCCTCAAAGAGGACTAGTGACGGCTATTTACTTAACATGATTTATTAAGGTGTTTGACCCAGTTAGTATGAAGGGCCATTTATGGAGTTTATTTCATAAGATAAGATAAGAGAAACTGAATGTGATTAAAGTTGAACATCTATGGACAAGAAAAATGTCATTTGAAGCAAAGCGTTGAATTAGCCAGAAAATACATTTACGGTTTCCAGTAAATTCAGTCATGAATATAGTTACTATAAGCTCTAAGAGACTGTAAGTAGATCTATACTCTCAGGAGTTCAAAACATCAATAAAACCAAGAGCCAATAAGCGGAGGCATTAAATCATGCAAGACCGTGTACATAGGAATTTTTTGTGGAACATATACATACACAGCACTCGAGGGAACTGAGCCAGTATGAATGATTTTAATTCCGCCCAAGATTTTCCTGCTTTGGAAATTAAAAAAAAAGGCGTGAAAAAGATTTATAGGGGCAGAGACGACCATTACAAAACTGTAAAAATCTTATTTTAATATTCATGTAAAGAGGAGAATAAAATAAGTTCAGGTAAGTTGAGAATTCTTTCATCCCTTTTGCTTGTTGATGCTGAACATTAACATTCTTCAAATAAGTTCCATTCATGGCCTCTATAGCCATGGTTTTTAATCTAAAATCTGCCTGAAGTTGCATTATATGTTATTTTTTAACATGTGATTCCAATATATGTGAGTCAATATTAACTTTTGAAATTATTATTGATTCACAACAGAAGCCATAAAACATATACCTGGGGTTGAAATGAAGAAATGTTACTTTTTATGGAAAAAAGTTCTATATCTTGTATTTTAAAAGTTCAGGACGGGGCTATTTTTCTGCTGTGTTGCTTTTCCTCCTCTTTTTTCAACAGGCTGGAAACATCCAGAAACATAGGAAACCAGCTGCTTGCTTTCTGAGGTTGGAATTCTGTCCTATTCTTTTGTGATATATGAGACTAGATGTTCAATAGTCTGGGCCTTTTTTTTGTTTGTTTTGGATTTGGGGTTGCATTATCTCCTCCACTGAAGATTAGGTTTTATAAATAGCTATTTATAAAATGTTCCCTGTTCAGTCCAATTAGATGCACAAGGAAGACATCATCTTTAACCAAAAAAACATACCTAATGAGCATTTGTTAACTATTCTGCTTGCGTACGAGTGTGATATTTCAGGAAAATGAACTGAGAATGTCAACTCAGGACATGATAAAACTGTTTGAAAGTTCATTGTTGCTAGAGCAATAGTTGGAGGAATACGTAAAAAGGGATTGTGTAAGACTGCATGAGTCCTTCTCCACCATATTTATCCAAAAATGAAGAGACACCAACAAAGTTTTGATGGCTTGAGAACATTTGATAAAAGCATTTTGATTGTGATGGGTCTGGACTGAAAATGAATCTATTCTTTAGACATGAGGAGAGGATGTTTAGATGAGAATTAAAACCAAGCAAATCTTTTGCCACGACACAGCAGGTTTTCCTGGACATACCGTCATAATTATTTTGGCTATTTGATTTATTTTGGCTGTTATACTTCATATAATAATATTAATGTTTTTTCATATTATGTTAGCTATATTATATAATCATATTTTTAGAAGATACTTGAGTGTTGAAACTAGGTGAAGCCCCTATTATTATTTAGATTTATTTATTGTATCATCGCTGAATTTTTATTGACTATTATTTCCAACGGTTTCACGTAAATTACACTTTGGCTGAGTAGTGAAATAATATCCTGCCTTTTTTTATTGCAAGATAAGATATTTCATCTGTTTTAAACATAACTGAACTTTCTGAGTTAGATTTCTGTCTGTGTCTTTATGTCATGACTCATGATAATTTCTTTATTTAGCATATTAGTACTTAAGTCCATCCGTTCATCCATCCATCCATTTTCTATCCCGCTTAATAGGTTCGCGGGAGGCTGGACCCTATCCCAGTCGACAAGGGGTACACCCAGGATGGGTCTACCTTCCAGTAAGGGGCCACACAGAGACAAACAACCACACACACACACATACTTCACACCTAGGGGGAGAATTGGAACATGAGCTGAAGTCTACATTAAAAATAATGGTCTGTAAAAACAAAAAACGCACTGCCGGGAATGGGAGGTAGTTGATTCTATATAACACGGCCTCCTAGTTAGCGTTTGTAAAACTTCCAAGTTTCCACGTGGCATAAGGTCACTGTCTTCCCTGGTTAGTTTGAGAAAGAGTGCTCAAACATTTCAGACTGCAAGAAATTGCAGACCTTTAAGCTGGAAATAGTTGGCTGGCATTGCTCCCTTGTTGTCTATTTCCATCCGATTTGGAATTACTGACACAGTAAATGCCAGTCTGTCAGTTCGTGTCTAATCTTAACTATAGATAGTGGTACAAGGATTAGAATACTCTTTCTTTTTATCAGTCCACTTAAAGTTGCTTTCGGTGAACGCTTTTGTAAAATAAATCAAACAAGCACATGAACTACAAAAAAAAGAAATTCCAGTTGGAAAAATAAACCCTCCTCTAGAACTTTTTAGCCGTTAATGAGAAGATGAGAATGGCATATTTCCCTCCCCGCCTATTATTGCAACATATATTTCATGACTAATTGATTAGTGACCTCTCTGACTGGAAACCTCTAGTAAAAAAATATCTGCAATTCCTTTGCATTATTCATCTGTGTCTGACCCATGTCTGGCAATGAATAGTATTATAAGCGCTCCTATCATTTTTGCATTAGGATGATTTTTTAATGAGAGCTACAGGTCAAATCGCTCGACATGTCTTGTCTCCTGTCTGAAAAGTAATAAAGCGAACTGGTAAAATATCTGCATTAATATACGTGTAAGACACCGGCTTTAGGCTTTCATGAGCTCCTTGACATCAAATTGGTATGAGCTAACATACACTATTAATACACAGAGTTACAGGCACAATTACCATCAAATCCTCCACAATTTATTCAGAGAAGCTGCTTGGTGGAGATTAGGAGTGCTGGGAACAAGTGGGCTAAAAGAATTTTAGTGCAATAAAGTAACCCATGAAAATGTGGTGAAAGGGAGTATAATTTTATTCGAGCAATACATACCTTTGGCAGAAAAACTCAGTTACAGTCTGCAATTAAATAATTCACATCCAACACTCTTATTCACTAGTGGTTAGTTTGACTTGCGAGTGGTTTCTACGTGTGATGAAAAGCAGTGTGGTAATTTGCTGTATTAAAAAAAAAAGCTTGGCCAAAAACGAATTTGGAACATCACTTCTCCAGTAGCACCACCATCAGGACAAACTTAAAGTTATTGCCCACTAGTGGTGAGAATCCAATAATGGCAGCGCCCTCGTTTGATCCATTTAACAATCCTGTTTTCCGGTGTATAAAAAAGATTTTTTTCAGCCTCATGAGGCCGCTCGTCCGCTGATACGTCCTTTTTTCTTGCCCTTTTTTGTTGTAAAGTCACAGTGAGTTGCAAAATAACTCATAATAAAAATCCATATCAAAGTCCTAGTACCGTGATGGGTTTCATGCACACAAAGCAAAAAAATATACCAGTCTATACTAACACTGTAGTAAATGTTTTCACAGAAAATATACCAATCTAGCTGTGATAGAAAACGCAAGTTCTCTAAGAGTTCCTGCATAAATGCACGCAAAAAAAAGTGCCACGATTTGATTGTGTCTGCATATAATGGCTTACAAATAAAGATACTGACAGATGCGTGGTGAAGATATATTCAGTCTTTTTGTCATCTGAAGAATTACCAAAAGTTTCTTTTTTTCACAAAAACACTTAAATAATTAATTTAAAACGTCCATGACACAGTTCTATGATATCTCATGGTTTTCAAAAGTTACTCAACTCTAATAATTGTGTGAGATTAAACAATCTTTTCAGTCGTTGTAGTGACAGCTGTGAATAGTGGCTTTAAGCTTATTTTGATGGTGCTCTGCTGTACAAATCTGGATTTATTCGAGGAAATTTCGGAGTATTTGATCTGTTGGAGCTCTTAACAATGGTGCGCGAGCGAAACGTGGCGTGTAACGGAACACTTGTCTGTTTGTGTTTATTCATTCGAGGCACTTTCCCAGTCAGAATTTGCCGAGGGGGGGCAGCGCCCCGGCCTTTACGAGCACGGCCGAGAGCAGGTCGGCGGGCCCCGAGGGGTGTGGCACGGCGGTGGCGGGGGGGGTTCCGTGCTTGTTCTCGGCGTTGACGGCCATGGGAAGCCTGGCCCTGCTCAGGGTGGATTTCCCCGCCCCGCTTCCTCCCCCTCCTCCTCCGAAACTGGTCTTGCTGTTCTCGGCCGTGGGGACGAACGTTCCCGCGTGGGGGTTCCCGGCCGCCGTGTTCCCGCCGGACTCCAGGCCGTCCTGGCAGCAGCACAGCAGCCGGAAAAAGGCCGCCCTCATCTCCCGGCTGGTCAGGGTGTAGATCAGCGGGTTGAGGGCCGAGTTCAGCACGGCCAGGGCGATGAACCAGTCCACCTGGTAGAGGATGGGACACTTGTCCGGGCTGCAGCCGACGTCCACCAGGAGCAGGAGGAACAGCGGGGACCAGCAGATGACGAACACCCCCAGGACGATGACCACCGTCCGCAGCAGGGCCAGCGAGCGCTCCGACGGCCGGCTGCTCACCCGGCGGCCGCTGGAGGTGACCAGCCGGTAGATGCGGATGTAGAGGACCACGATGGCCGCCAGCAGGGCGCTGAACACGCTGATGCAGAAGGCGATGTAGCTCTTGGCGTAGAGCGGCAGCACGGTGGAGCACGCCGCCAGGTGGTCCAGGCAGTTCCAGCCCAGGCTGGGCAGGGCGCTGATCAGCAGGGACACCAGCCAGCAGGCGGCCAGCAGGGTCAGGAGCCGGCCGCGGCCCGCCGTCTCGCAGGGGCGCAGGCGCACCATGGTCATGTGGCGCTCGATGCCGATGGCCAGGAGGCTGAAGGTGGAGGCGCTCAGGGCCACGAACATGCTCCCCTCGCGGGCCAGCCACTGCACGGGGGTGAGGAAGAAGGTGTTCCTGCCCGAGGTGAAGATGTTGACCACGTAGGCCACGCCGGCCAGCAGGTCGGAGAGCGCCAGGTTCCCGATGAGGAAGTACATGCGGCTGTGGAAGCGCTTGTTCCTCCACAGGGCCAGCAGGACGGTGACGTTCTCCATGACGATCAGCACGCAGATGAGGAGCAGCACCGCCGTCTTGCAGGCCCCGCCCCCCCGGGGACGGTCCCACTTGCCCGAGTGGTTGTAGTGGCTGACGATGACGACGTTCATGCCGTCCTCCATGACGTTGCCCATGGCGCCTGCCCCCCCCCCCTGCCCCCCTTTTTCCCGAGCTTCCGGAGCCACACAGCAGAGGGTGCCAGAGCGCTGGACACAGGACGGGGCTCAACCTGGAAGCATCACAGCTGCCATCTTAGAGCCTCTTCCAGCACCTGCCAATCACATGAAGTTTGCAGATAAATAGTTATAACCAGTTTATGTGGGCCATCTGAATAAAAGTCTCAGAGAAATATAATAACAAACAAATGTGGAGGGAAATATTTTTTAAAACACTTCAACAGAAACCAGCACCAGCAAAAACAACTCTTACCATAACAGAGATGAACCAGAAAAACTTAAGGAAAAACATTTAACTTTTTTTTTATTAATTAGTCTTAAATTGTCAAATGATCATATGAAAAACTCGTTAATTGATTCAAATTCAATTAAACGCAAATATAACTAGGCTTTGGAACTTTCTCTACGGTGTAGACTTAGATTTCTTATAGACTAACCACAATTTATTAAGTTTGTCCTTACTGTACGTTTTGCATAATGAAAAAAGTCGTTAGTTCATCTGAGTCTTTTTCCCCATTTTTTTAAAAAAGGGGCGAAAAAATCCCAATGCGCTTTTATTTTTTTTATTTTTTTTACTGAGCATCATTACAGCGTCTTCTATTTACAGCTAAACGTACCTCTTTGAGTTACTGCACTCATCTAAACATCCTGGTTTAGATGAGTCGACATCTGCAGAATTTGGAACACACTTTTCCGTCGTGCGTAAAAGCGAAGGATTGGAGCAATTAAAAAAAAAATCAAATGAAATGTCCAAAGTAAAGTCAAAAGGCAGTTCTGTGATCAATTCCAAGTAAAATCCTGGTTTAGGGGTGTATCATCCGGAAAGTATCCGTCTTGACTCTCCGTTCTGAACTTTTGGTTGTGTTTCTCTGAACACTTTCCAGTCCGGGCTCCTGCAGCCCTCCCCGGCCGGTGAGGCGGGATCTTCCTCTTATTACCATTAATTATGAGTCAGCTGGAGCTGGAGAAAATTTGTCCCTCCGCCCACAAATCGGACTCCTGTTCCCAGACGTGTTACACACCATTACGCAGTATTAATAAGTCGCTTAAAAACAAGCCGACACGCCTTTTTCATAATGGCTGATATTCAGGTGACTTGTCCATTTACTAAGTTCCACTGTGTTGCCCTTACTTGTCCCAAACACGTTTCTCGTCTTCAAGTCCCATTAGTTAGGCTACTAAAATAAGAAATAAATAAATACAAAAATAGATAAAAACAGTGGGGGAAATAAGTATTTGACCCCTTGCTGATTTTGCAGATTTGCCCACTTACAAAGAATGCAACGATCTATAACTTTAATCATATGTACATTCTAACAGTGAAAGACAGAATCCCAAAGAAAATTCCAGAAAATCACATCATATGAATTTATAAAAATTGATAACCATCTGATGAGGAAAAATAAGCATTCTTTGTATAAGTGGGTAAACCTGCAAAATCAGCAAGGGGTCAAATACTTATTTCCCACACTGTACATCAATTTCCACAGGTGCCTTTAATACCCCTACAGTTTTATCTTTAATTCAGTTTAGATTTTTAGTATCCTGGAAAAATCCTTTCCCAAAGTTGTTTAGTGTGCTTTTCTTGGACCTTCTTTCAACTAAATCACATCCAGTCACCAGCCAGGAGGTTGGAGTCCTATTTTATCTCAGTGATGTGATGAATCATTGTTTTTTCATGTTCAAATAAAGGATCACTGGGTCCCTTTGGTCCTTTACAGTGTGAGATAGGTCAGACCTCTCCCATTGGAGCCGGGTGGAATCGAAGGGAAAAGGACGATAGCACATCTTTTCTCCTTTTTTGTACTTTATTCTGTCGACGGCGTGCTTTATTTATATGACACAGATGGGCCGTGATGCATCTCCGTTCTCAAAGAAGACGATGGGTCATTACATTTTTATCCCAGGCATCCATTTAGTGCAGGAAGATCAGGAGGGAAAGAGGTGAATTTGCGGGGGGAGAACACTGCAAATGAAAGTCGTGGGCTGAGATTGCGGGATCTTAAACCACTTAAAAATTCCGAAAAGGCAGCCGCCCTCCATACCCCCAATCAATTCTCCCATCTCTCCATCACAATGGACACGAAAGCGATAATGAATTGACAGACAATGGGGACTCTCCGTCCGGTGAAATCCCCCTGAAATTGAACCCCTATCTCTGGAAATGATATGAAATCCATTTCAAAGGATGATCATGAGTTTGGTCATGCAGAGAAAAGGATGCTCTTCTTGAACTTTTTGTGGACAGATTTTGGCAGCAGCAGATGCAGAATGACACATTTTAGAAGGGAATATATGAAAGACTTTACACTGAAACAAATTATGTGCATATGGAAAGATTATGTCAAAGGCAAATTGCACTAACTGTCCATGTTAGACAAGTGTTTAGATATTTTGGGTGGTTTTCTTTTCTTTTCTTTTCTTTTCTCTCTTTGTAACTGCTCAGTTTTATCAATCACAACTGTTTCTCCTCATTTGCATCTGTAGTTTTAACTAGGTCTATATTTCCGGTTTAAAACTGGACATACCAGAAATTGAAGCTTGAGTGGATGTCGAATGTGGCTAACATTAACTGAGAGCCTTACAAACATGTGGAGAAGATGGCCGGAGACCGGAGTAACAGCAGTGTTCTTTTATCCCTTCTCTCTCGTGGCCTCGGTGGTATCGCCTATGGAGGGGAGTCACGGGCAGTTTGTCCCACTTAGAAAAAACCAGCGTGGATTAATGAATGACCTCCAGAGCTGTTGACTTTATCCTGAGTAGCTAGAGATGTACAGACGCTCTGACAAGCCATTAATAACACAAAAACACCCCAAAGGCCTTTCGGTTCTGTGTTGTTTCAAAGCTGGACCTAGACTTCCTGAATATTCGGTTGCTTTGTTAGAAAAAGGAAATGTAGCTGCAGGCCACCAGATTATGGGGAAAAAAACGGCCTTCTAATAGTGAGGTGTTGGAACAACTATGCCATAAGTGTTTTGTTTTTTTTGTTCGTTTGCTTGTGTGTGTGTTTGTGTGTAGCGCTGTGAGTCAGAGGCTCTGGTTGTGAGTTAGATGCTTGGGAATGTAAGTGGGAATGCACTAGGGGCTGTGTGGCAATGGAAAAGGAAGGCCTCGACCCTTGTCCAGCTCTTGCTATTTATCCAGAATGATAAAATGTTTTACAGTTCAACATCTGACTCTGGCAACTGCGTAACTTTCAGCTTTAACTTTTAAGAATCGATGAGAAAGTCAGTTGTACCTCAGCTCTGCCCTAACAGAATTTCAGACTTCAAGAAGACGAGAGGATCAATGGAATACAAGTTCCATGAGTACCTTCAGTTTTAAGCCTCAACCATGGAAAGACCTGGAGGGTCTTAGGGTCTTAGGCTCATAGGGCGTTAAACCGTCAATGCTTAGCTATGAACGGGTTTAAAACTACAACACAATTGGACAATTTTATTGTTGTAAGTTTGAAAACGAAGCAGTAAGACTAGGGGAAAAGCATGCACCGCAAACATTGAAAACTGTTGCACTCTTTTTAAATACAGCATGGGAAACACAAAAAACAACAACAGTTATTTGGAATTGCATTGGTTTGGATACAAGGGTGATTACCAAATGGTGAATGAGAAACAAATAACGGCCAGTCGAACATATCAGGGGCCAAGTTGGCACAAATTCTGATAACTGGCCAGACTCACTCAGAACTTCACTTTAGTGGAAACATTGGAGCAGCAGAAGTTGGTGAAATCTACGACTCTATGTTCTGTTCAATACAAAGTCTCTTCATTTTTTATAGATATAAACATTCAATGTGTCAAATTTCAAGGTTTAAAGCATGCTTTTCGACATGCCCGTCTTTTCACTCATGAAGTTGGTTTGTCTGCAAAGGATAACATACTGAACTGCCTAAACAAAGCAAAATACCCTCCACTTGTAATGATTTTAGATTCAGGATAGATGGAACAAGCAGATAAAATGACATTTAAAAAAACAAAGAACCAGAACCCAATAAACGTTTGTCTTTAAGGCTTCAGAGCCATGAATTTCACACTTATCTGATTATCTTTTAACATTGATTGATTGATCTTTTAACACATCTTCTAAGTTAAATGTATTTTCATTTGCAAAGTTCTAAAGGAATAAAAAATATATATATTTTGTTTTGTTCCTATTAAACAATGTTAAGTTCAGCCGAGAGCAAATATTTCCATTATAATGAAGACACTATGGTAGCTGTTGTTTATTTTTCCTTTTTAGATATTTTCAACCATTAGCCCTGATTACACTTCCACACATTAGGATGGAATCCAATAATTGTGCTTTATTAAGATCAAATGTCCACACGCTTGTAGTATGAGTATCAGATTTTAGCAGATGTTCCTAAAGTTTTTAATGTATATGCTCAAATGTTGCAGAGTGGATGAAATGAAAAGATCCTAAAGGTAGAACACTAGAAAATCATAACACTTTCTGAACACTAAATGTAACAGTGGCACCATTAACTGAGGACCTCATGACTGCTCCTTATCTTTGTATGTCACCATCCATTTTCTCACGAGACATAAACCTCTATTTTCCGTTATTTATTTCTCTTTATGAAAGGGCCTTGAACCTTAAATATACTTCAAGCCACTGCTGTGCAAAGTACATTAGTAATAACTTGCAGAGGTACTTCTGTAAACAATCACGCTCAGTGTTTTTTTTTTTTCACATAACGTCTTCGCTGATGTCTGGGAAAGAATGCGAGACAAATATGTGTGTGCGCTCGTGTGTTTATTTATGTTTGTGTGTCCGTGAGTTGTTTTTGTTGTTTTTATGGGGCACACGGCTTGTCTATTATTCGATCTTATTCAATCGTGTGTCCGTTTGCTCATGTTGTCTCCTGCACAGGAACTATGACAATTCACCAAACACCAACATCGAGATCTTTGCCACCAGATTAAAAGCACATGCATTCTTTACATCATGACTGAGGGATATTTTTAGCCGCTTTTGTGTCTTGGCTGATTTGTTTGTCTGCTGGACTGTAAGATGAAGTCAAAGATACATCTCCCTTGAGACAGGGACTAAGGAGCTAGCAGTCTAGCGTTTTTGTTCCGCACATGTTCCAGTGATCCCGTTCAAATACCATTCACCACCCCAAACGTTCACCTCCAGCAATTTCCAAGTTCTGAGAAAAAAGCCTTTCCCCCCCCAAACCCTGCTCCATTAGCTTCTGAGTTACAAAAAAAAAAAAATGGAGCAAGAGCGTGAGAAAGAACCAACCAACCGATGGAAACAGACAAAACTTTGTTTTCAAAGGCTGTCCCAGCAAATAAACATCATTTATACCTTGTGAAGGTGTTTCCCCCTTTAAATACTTTCTGTTTGTGTAGTACGTTTAACTTATTATATAGTTATTTATACTAAGACTGCAGGCTGTCCCGTTCCTGGTTAGACTACCAGCGGGGGGCCTTTCTGGGTAGTGTTTTTATGTTCTCCCCACGTATGTTTTTGTCGTTTTCGGGTACTCCCGCTTCCTCCTACCATCTAAAAACACGTGTGTTAAGTCATACGCCGACCCTGAATTGCCCATAATTGTTATTTTGCAGGGTTGTTTTTCTCTGTGGGGTTCTGTGATGGAACACACTCTATCTAATTATTCTACAGGTATCAATATGTTTTGCATGGTTTATTTGTCAGATGGCTTTGTTGTGGTTGGGTAGTTAGATCTCTAGTTTCACTTTGTTTTTACTCGTTATATCTCATATAATACATATCTAATAGGACTAGGAGCAGCAAGAAAGAATAGTTTTTGCTCAATTATGTAAATACTTAACTACGTCTGTGCCACTTTTAAAAAGTTAAAAGTTCATTAGAATTGTACTAACAGACAAATTATTCGGTCAAACACAAGTGCATTATGGAGACCTTCTTTGGTAGAT